CCTGAGATGGGTTCTGAGAGAAATAACTGAACTGAGTAATCAACTGTCTCATGGATTCATACAAAGATCTTTTTGGCCATGGCTCCTAGATAACTTATTCACTGGTTTCTACTTCATGGTTCATCATTGCTAATAATAAATGAAATGAGTGGGAAAAATAATCAGAGTTCTAATGACAAAATTAAGTGACTGAATTATTCCAATAGATTGTTTCTAAATCGGCTTGGTTAGGCCATTAATTTGGAAAACATTCTCAACTTCTGCCTCAGAATATTTTTATTCAGGACATCCCAGTTTCTCAAGGACAAACAATTCTAAACTTATATGGAGTTGGTACTGTAAAACTGTTTTACTAAACTTTAGGACCAGACCAGATGAGATTTCAGCATCTCTGGGTTAAAAGCCTCATCCAGAGTGGATTATTTTCCTACAGACACATGAATGACTGCACCCATGAATTATATCCAACCTCTTTTATTTGTTGCTAGAAGAACTGCTAGATTCTTCCAGGAGCTGCTTAAATTAGAGAGTGTGCAGACAACTATATAACCTCAAATGTTCAGTGAGCAACTTGCCTTAAAGTTCCTTTATGGCAGATTTCTCTCTCTGACAAAGTGGAATAACAGCAGATAGCAGCAGCAGCAGAAAGTAAACAGAAATTATAGTATTTGTACAGCTGTTACTACAGTTTGTGCTTTGGTGTAAGAAGCATGGAAATACATCTAAGTATTGGGTGCTAAGCGTACGCATGTAAAGAGATACTGTAGTGCCAGGTATTGAGTGGAATAAGGAAACTCTGCTACTGGGTTATTCTAAAACCTTAATGAAAGAAATATTTGCAAAATTAAAGTTGAAGTCTGGTACTACTTTAATTCTAAATTCATGCAGAATGAAAGAAGTGCGTCATAGGCTTTGAAATATATTTATTTCTCAGAATCTTATAAAGATTTGGAGTCACATTAAGGGTTTTAAGCTTTGGCTTCTTCCTCTGCTGCCTGCTGTAGCTATTGAACATTTTTATTAGAACGATCCCAATATGACAAGGTCAAATGAAGCCTTTTATCGAGACTTATCAAGGAATTCATGCAGAGGCCACATGCCTATCTCAGATAAAACACAAACTCTTGAGCATAGTAACGAGAGCTTAGGAAATACAATACACTTCACATATTTCAACTGACATTTTCCAATATATGAGCATATGTCAGAACAGCTGTGATTCCAGGCTCTATACAGAAGTCCTATTTCTGAAATGAATGTTTCACAATAACATTAGTTATTCAGTGTGAGTACCTGTATCTCTTTTGCAGCTATTTCACTTTATTTCCAAGATGGAAAGAAGGAATACTTTTAAGCAATTTTCTTGACACACAAGAAAGATCAGAGCCCAATGCTATACAATTCTGTTATGTTTTCCTTTGCCTTGTAGAAAATTCTACCGCACACACAAAAGAAACTTTTCCATTGTAATAAACAAAAAAGTGGTGCTATTTGATGAACACACTGTGCCTTTTCTTTGTTCTCTTCATTGTTTTTTCCATGGTAAATCTTTATCTACAAAGCCTCAAATTATCTTAAAAAAGAAAATACAAAAATCAAAGTTGGAGATAGTGAGCTACAATTAGACTCAAATTATAAGACAATTCAGCAATAAGAGAGCCACAAATAAAACATCCCTAAGACTGATGCAGGCTGGGTAAATTAACCTCCTACTCAGACAGATACTACATGATGAGTACTAGTTATTCTACTTGAATACTGCCCAGGGCATTGGACACCTTTAAAATAACTAAAATATCAACCACTCATCTAAACCAGAAGCAGTGATTTTTACACAGTGACACAATCATGAAAAATCACGAAGATCTAAAGTAACTTAGAATACCCTTGGGTAGCTGGATGCATCTTTTACAGGTTGGCTGAGGTTAACTGGGACATCTGCTTGCTCATCTAGTAAACCTAAAAAGCAGGAAATACATAAATCTGTTCCTTCTGCCTTCCAGTTGTGGACTATTTTCTTTCCTGTGTGTTTACGGAGCTTTTGTAGAGAGGTAGTGTTATTTACCTCAAAGGCAAAAAAAATTAGACTTTCTTCTACAGTAGGTACTGCTCAGTGGATTCCAAAAAACTCTTCCAATACCATGGATGTTCTTAATTTCTGGATGGGAGGATTATTGCTATGGAATGAAGAACAGCAGTGTTCAGATGTCATCCAATAAGAATGACAGAACAACTGAATTAATTGATACAAAAAAATGTTTGCCTGTATACTTAGCTGACAGGTTGCAAAAAATACAAATAGAAAAATAAACCTTAGGATGACGATTTGGATCTGCTGTTTTTTACAGGTTCCATCCTCATTTAATGTAACTTCCAGTGCTACTGACTATGGAGCCTGCAGCCTGTGTTCAGGCTTACACTACTGGTAAAAGTTAAATAAATAGAATACATATCAATTAGTATTTCGTTTTCTTCTAAACAATTTTTAGAATTGAATGTCTTACAAAATGGATACAATCATCCAGTCAAAATATCTGAGTGTGCCACAAAGAATGCAAGAAAACTGGGACCAATATGCATTTACTTACTGAAAAATTCTTAATTGTCTTCATTGCACAAAAAATAAACATTTAAATAACAAGCAAATCCTCCATCAAAAAGACAAAATACCACACCAAGTCTTCTTCTTAACTCTCATTTAAAAGTTATAGCATACATTAGACTAAACTACACTCCTACATCAGAGGTACTTAGGACACATAATGGTAGGTATTCCTGACCTTTCAAGATCTGTCTTATAAAAGGATTAATAAAATAGTCTTAAATCACAATTCAAAACAAGAAAGGCTGAGCACTGAAAACCATACCACAGCAATTCCTGATACAACTAAACTGCATGATAAATTCAAGTCTTTTCGATGACGTTGTCCACAGTATGTTTTATGTTGCGTTATCAACATCAGCATCCTCAATGCTTCCTTTTCCACAATCAGATTGTTAGACCTTCGCAGATAGACAACATAATGCATTCCTCACAACGTAGTTGTGATTTATTTATTTCAGTCGCCCTACTTCTGTATTTCCATGCATTACATATTTTGTTTCAAGACAACCCATACTGTCAGAAAAGTATTTATAGAAACAAATTTGTCCCAACTTCTCATACCTGACAATACCAACTGAAACTCTAGGAATGTGTTTTACAGGTGTTATAAATGTTTCTGTTCGAGTGTAACAAAGGATAAACTCATACAAACTTCATTTTACTCATTTCTGCTCCTGAATGATTTCAAATTGGGAGTTACTGGACAGTTAATTAAAGATCATTGAAACTGGGAGCTGCAAAGGGTTGCCATCATGGACTTTTTTTTTTTTTTTTTTTAAAGTTACTTGAAAGTCTTTATATCCCTGTATGGATTTAGCTGAAAAAAAGAGAGTTGCTTTCAACCAAACACAGCACTACAGTTGTTTCCAACCTAAAACACAAGAAAAGCATTTGTGATTAAATATGTTCTGAGCTATAGTTTCATGAAAACAGGCCAAGAGATGAAAGTATCTGAATGAGAAGGCATTGAGTAAGTAGCAGACAATGCTTCAGTAACGTAGTGTTTGAGAAGAGGTAAAAGAGACAATTTGGGAGTTAAGATGTGACAACAAAGGAATAAGGAAGTAGAAATAAACTGTACACAACATATCAGAGAAACTGTTCTTGAAATATTCTCAGATTACACCACAGACTGCATCACCATTTCCAATTTTCATGGCTTACTAGAACAAGTTGTGAGCCAGTGTTTTGATTAAACCACATACATCATAATGAGATCTCTACTAAATCTCCATGGCTGTGGATCAGCAATAGAAGTTCCGACCCCAATAATTCATCCAGTTTTCAACATAGTAAGTAAGGTGAGTGGCAGCCCTGCCCATGGCAGGGGCACTGGAATGAGATGATCTTTTTATGGTCCCTTCCATTCTTAACCCATTGCATGATTCCCTCATACCTCACCTTGTACACTGCTAGCATAACAAAAAAATACATATATCTCATGAATTACTCCTGAATAATGTATTTGCTCCTCAGAGCCCAGATTTTTCTTGTTTTTGTATATTTCTTCCATAACTGTTGAAGAACCAGTTGATTGTGAAATATATTTCTATCCTCAACAATTAGCCAAAGATACACACACACACACACAAAAAATTAAGCAGCAGATTTAATATACTAAGGTATTTTTTTAATGGCACGTCATGCTCTATAAGTAGTGACATAACAAGAGATTGAGTACAGAACAAGAAACTTGATAATACTAAAGGCAATTCCTTACCATTTTGCTGTGTAGCTTTAGGAAAATGCTCCAGGAATTACTAGAACAATGAGTCATTTATGTTCTGAGCAACAACTGTTGCTCAGTTTCATTTTGAGTTTCATTTTACAGAGCAAGATGAACAGCTTTAGAAAAAGTAATCAGAAAGGAAAAAAACCTCCAAGATCTCCCTATCTATTTAAAGATTGTAGTATACCCAGCTTAGTCAGTACTTACTACAGCATATACTTCTGACACTACCAGCTTTATTTTACTACATCTCAACCTCATGTAACCAAGTCTCCTAAAAAAAAAAAAAAAAAAAAAAAAAAAAAAAAAAAAGCCCTAAAGCTTTTGTGCCTTTGTTTAAAGCATGGCTTTACAGTAGACTCAGCATTGGGAATTCAGATACACTTAAAAAGAAAAAAAAACAGGGTGAAGTACAGTAAGCAATCTCAATACCATTTTTTCAACAAGCTGTTCTTAGATGGATTTTGTTCTGACAAACCAAGCAATAATAATAAAACACAAGAATCTAGGAATATCATCAGGTTGCTGTCTTACTAAAAATTAAAAAAAAAAACAACCACAAATTCTCATATTTTCCACTGAGTTTCTTTGATTTACAAGACAAAGATATTATTTTCTGCATACCTGAATGATACAGTTCAGTGAGTTCATTTGTTTTCAACTCACCTTCTGAAACCACCAGTTATGGTAACCAAAGCATCTGGTAGAAACGTACAGACAGTATTCTTGACAATCAAGCTTACTGCATCTGCTTCTGCCTTAGATACACAGCTAACAAGGTCCTCATAGTAGAGAAACCCTGGAAATCAAAGGTTAAAAAGTGCTGATCACTCTGTGAAATCCTCAAAATCTATTTAGTGTTATGTAAGCCCAGTGTGAAATACATAGACATCTCTCATCAGGAAGTCAAGCCACTTAATTTGTATTAAGGACAAGAAAATCCTAACTAATTACAAAAATAATGTGTGACTTTGAAGCTGAAACTATAGGTTTGTTTTAGAATGTTATGTAAAGAAATCTATTCTGACCTGTTTCTACCTTCATACCATTTTTACAGTCAGCCTCCTGCCTTGGATTTGATGGAATCACATGCAGAAGAGTTTCTTCCTGGATTTATCTTCCTTCTTGTAGTTTTGATAAATTACAGTGTTCTTATGAACAGCAGTTATAAATAATATGGCCGTCAGAATAGTAGTAGTATGCATTCCCACTTGATGAGATCCTGAATCAGGAACCTGAATTACTCTCACTTACCTACTAGTTCCTACCAGTGGCATTTTGGATGTACCACTTAAAAGGGAACACTTCCTGAAATGATGGACTCCAACCAAATATGGGCCCCAGAGAATTAGTGGGTATGTAAAATACTGCTTTCTTCATGTTTGATCACAGTTCTTGTATGAAAAGAGCCCAATTCTGCAGGTTGCTTCAACACTTTGAGATAATATATGTGTTAAAAAAAAAAAAAAAAAAGAAAGAGCTTGCCAATCCAAAGGATTCTAAGCTGCGAAAATAAAGTTACATAACAGTAACGTCATGTTTTGTTCTCTTCATGTAATGGATTTTTTCTTTAAAGGAGTTCCTTTATTTAGAAAAACAGCACAAAAAATAATCTTTGGAGCAGCAACACTGTTCATCTAACTACATTAAAACTGTGAAGATGTACCAGGATTATGAAGGTAATTCTGCAAATATTTCATCACAAATCTTAATTTGCACTAGATTTGAGCTGCCTTGAACAACATAGGCTGCATCTTGAAAAGCAGTTCTGAGCTTTTCTATTGTTGGAGTTTTTTCACAGTTTCTATAATAATGATCCATCAATGATTTTGTGTATAAGAACATGTTTCATTGGGTACCTGTGCAGCATACTTAAAAAGGTACACATTAACAGCTGTTCAATGACATCATTTTTAGAGGGTCCTAATATACTAATTACTGTTTTAACCTACTAATTTAATATTCAAAAGATGCTGTGTCAAGAAATTGAACTTACAAATAAATTGGGTTACCACCGCTTTCTTCTCTCAAGTTGTCACAGCACAGAGATACTGAGTTTTTAATGGCACTTGCACCTTACCTGCTCTCTGCATTTTTGACAGCTTCAGGGTCTTGTCAGCTTTTACCTCTTCCACAGTTCGTAATCCCATTCTGAACCATTTCTCTGATGTCTTCACTCCCACTCCAAAGACTGAAGTAAATTGCTAAAGTCAGTGAAAGAAAACACATTTCAGGATGTCTGAAAGAGAAGTAAATTAACAGTGAGTTGCTAACAAGGTGGTTTCACAGTGAAAATGGTGGGCAGATTGTATCCTACACTAAAGATTAAAAGAAAATAGTGTACTGCAAATACACAGATTCAGCTTCCTTTTTTTGTATAGTTATATTCAGCAGACAATTGTTTTTATGTGTAGATTTCACTTTAATGAGAACTACCTATGCAATAATAAGGTAGCATGCTAGCATCTTTTTGTAATTTAGTTAAATGTACACATTCAGCAGTGGTTTGAAATAAAAAAAAAGACTTTGTTTCTCTGGAAAATCAGACATGCAAACAGAATCATAAGGTAGCTGGATAACCTCAAACCAACTTTATGCATTAGGAGGCGTCTCAACACTGTTTGCCTAATTTAACTGAAATTGCAATTTTTTTATTTTATGCACTACAAGCTATCACTTGTACACATTTAGGTGTCATCACTGTGCTCCAAAGAGATTGGACAACCTATTACTGATGTAAACCACTGATGCGTAAGCAGTAGATCAGTATTGCAGATTAACAGAAATATGAAAACAAGAGGAAAAGCCTTCATGCCTCCTGAAAGCACATTCTTTTTCTTCACTTTGTCAGTACAGAGACACTCAATAGTTTCTTTTATGTAATTTAAAGAATAGCTATGCAAGATGTGAATAGCTGCCATTTTCCACTTCTACAATCTGTGAATTCCAACCTTGCTATTTTGTGTTTTTCTAATTATACTAATTCTTTGGAAATAATTAGATAAAGAGTGAAAATCTTGGATAATATTAAATATACATTTTGTATATAATGGATGAAATTACCTATTCTTTGCCTGAAACATGGTCATTTACAAAAGAATGATTTTAAATACTTTGATTGCTATCTTTTAATTTGTCTCCTAGTGCTCCGTCTTCAAAGGAGCCTATTACAGGATTCAGAACTATTCCAAGAAACTTAATTAATACAGAGAGACAGAACTTAAAGTGAACTTTATGCTGATGCCTAAATTTTTAGGATAAAAAAAAAAAAAAAAAAGTAGTTCTTCCGTAAGGTCCATAAATATTCATTGTTAATTTGAAGACAGTGCTGAGTGCAGTGCGTAACAGACAGCATATTTCTTAAATGGCACACACAAGAATTCCCATTGTCATCTGGTAAAAGTGAATTCTGTCAAGTTGTTCTCTGCAGCACTTCCATAAGGAGGAGAACTGACCATGTCATACCCTATATCAATAATACGGTGTGTTTATTTCAGTGTTCTGATAACTGCAACATTGAGACCAGCTGTGATCATTAAAGTCATAACAAGTAATTAGCAATAGTTACTAGAATCACGTTAAACAATGAAAATTAGGAATTTGCTAATATGAAATTCACTCAGCTGTTGTGAGGCTCCATCTGGAGCACTGCATCCAGGCCTGGGGCCCCCAGGACAGGAAGGACATGGAGCTCTTGGAGCGGGTCCAGAGGAGGGCCACTAAGATGATCAGAGGGCTAGAACACCTCTGCTATGAAGAAAGGTTGAGGGAACTGGGCTGGTTTATCTTGGAGAAGGCTCCGGGAGACCTCACTGTGGCTTTCCAGTACTTGAAGGAAGCATAAAAACAGGAAGGGGAACAGCTATTTGAAAGTGGATAGTGATAGGACAAGGGGGAATGGTTTTAAACTGAGACAGGGGAGGTTTAGATTAGATATTAGGAGGAAGTTCTTCACATGGAGAGTAGTGACACACTGGAACAGGTTGCCCAGGGAGCTTGTGGATGCCCCATCCCTGGAGGCATTCAAAACCAGGCTAGATGTGGCTCTAGGCATCCTGGTCTGGTGGTCGGTGGCCCTGCACACAGCAGGGGGGTTGAAAAGGACCACAATGACCATCGAGTTTCAACCCAGCCCATTCTATGATTTTATGATCTTCACTTACCTAGATACAGATTAAAAAAAACTAGCTACAGCCAGTTTAGACAAATGGTTGGGGCTGCCCTCAGCTAAAAAAAAGATCCACATTGGTTTGTTGTAATTTGGTACATGAAAAAAAGCATAAAATGTATTGGAGATATGTCCTCTGGTAGATATTTTCTTAATCTCTGAAATACAATGTATAATTTTTGACCCTCAATTTTTACTACCATTAATAAGTAAATCTGGTTGCTGAATCCTGCCTCACATAAGAACCTACACCTCTTTTCTGACCATTATTACTGTACCTGAATGTCTTTTCATACCACCGTTATGATTCAGAGGGAATGGAACTACCTTAAATTGCTGAAGCAAATAATACAGAGGGGAATGTACCAGTTCCAATCCTTTTATTCCCCTTAAGATTTTTTTTTCTGAAAACACAGAGGATATTTTTAGAAATTAAAACTGAAGATAAAATTGAAAACATATTTCCAGTGGAGAATATTTAAGAAATATAATTGTAAAAAATGGGAAATGTGGTATTTATTTTCTAGGTTTCCTGTAACTATGCAGAAATGTGACCATGATTCTGAGCCAACAAGATGCCTGACAAAGAAATATCTCCAAGACTTATTTCTTTTTCTTCACTCAAAGGAGAATTAAACTAGATCTGACTCATCTACTTCATCCAGTGTTCTCTTTATACCAGAATGGAATGGCATAGTATTATTGCAATAATACAACGGGAGAGGGAGTAATGCTAAAACAAACACTGTATTACACTTAAAACAAATGTAATGCATTCTCTTTAAGGAAAAAAGTGACTGCTCAGTTCAAGCTTAAGAGCAGTTGTGTACGCATCATAATGACTATAAAGGTAGCTGATTTCACAGTTATTCCATGCTCTCTTTATTCAATATCTATTCTTTATTTATACTTGATGTTTCTTTATTATAAAATAGACAGTTGTGTCTATAAGTAAATTCCTTACTAATCAGAAGGAAATATACTCAATTTTCAAAACAGTAACAAACCTCAAAGATTTACCTTAAATGACTTATATCGTTCATCATTTAGTACATCTTTAGCTCTAGAACTCTCTCCTTCTTCAATAATCTCCTGAACAGAGAAAAGCATTATTTTTAAAATCAAGATGTAATGAAATAATCTAATGAAAAGTCTTATCCACCTATAAAAACACTGAGAGCATATTTAGCAAGTACATCATTTTATTCCATCAGGATTGAAATCTGCAGTCCTTTCTGAGAAAGAAAATTACTGAAGGATAAAGGAGGAACTGGGACTACAGAATGAATTTCATAGTACTTGTTTACTCATACATTTATTCAAAGATGAAGTAGAAATTTGGATCATGGAATATATTTCACACTACTTGTTTACTCATAAATTTACAGCCAGAGAATAGATATATATCATAAGCTATCAATGTGTTGCTATGAAAATAATTAAATTTCATTATTTGCTTATTTCTCTTAACAATAAAAGTATTTTAAAACCAGATGGTTTTTTTCTTGAATGTACAGTTCCCTCAAACTCTCTGATAAAGAGGAAAAAACAAAATGAGAAGAACAGGACATTTTTATAACAACAAAAAGTCATTCTACTTTCTGTAGGGTCATAATTGAATTCCCAGCCCTCATGTAGTAGGTACAAGGAGCTCTTCAGAGGCTGCATTCTTAACTGGTGGAGTGAGGCAGAATAGGAACCAGACTGAATCACAACACCCAGCAATGACCTCTGCAAGCAGTGGAGATATTCTGATCAGCTCTTGTTGCAGTAACAGTACCTGAGATGCAGGGTTCTGAAAAGGCCAAGAATTAAAGAAAAAAAGGGAATTCTCAAAGTTCCTGTAAGAATGTAAAGTTCATCCTTCACCTAGTTAAAAGGCTCTGATCTGATTCAGAGCAAGTTAGTATTTAACATTAAATTACTAAAATATTTACCAGTTTGGCAAAAATTGTATTTCCAATAAAACATTCAGGTGAGAAAAGTGATGTTGCCAAGGGCAGATGTTACATAAGCAAAACTATTATTGTTAAACTGTCACATTCAAATCAGAGCGGGTTCTAAAAAATTGCATATAACTCTCACACTGCATTATTTATTTGCACTTATTTGTGATTTAACTTTATTCATAAGAGAAAGCATTCTGTTTTAGAACTTTATGTTACTATAAAAGCATTCAAGGAATCACTGAATTCCTAGTCTCAAGGATAATATATTGTTACTAAAGAAAATACACACAGTTGAGTAAATGCATACAAATATTAATGCTGTATTCTGTGACCTCTAAAAGTAGATCTGAAAAGATCGATTGGCTGCAAATGCAGAGGTATGTTACCTCAATAACGTCTCTGACTCTGTCTCCCATGCAGGGCAACCCCTGTATATCTTTCATGCTGGTTACTGGAAATGGAAGAGATTTCAGCACAGAAGCTGCTCTCAGAAATTCCAGGCAGAATATTTCATTTTCTTTGAATTCATAATTTTCAGCCATTATTTCAAAGGCATCCTGGGAGAAGAGAAAAAGAGGGTAGAAACAAAATTAGTGCAAGCTATTCAGTACGCTCATTAGAAGAGTTACTTTGTATGCCAAGTCAAGAAAGACTTAATTATAACAGTGTGAAAAGATGGAGATCATCACAAAAATTCAGCATCATCACATAATCACTTTAAGGTAAAAACTTCTAAAGGCTTCCAGCTGACTAGAATCTGGAAGACCACTTTCTTAATGAAGCCCTGCAAAAAAACCTCAATTTATTCCAATGTGGCAAAATTAAATGTTTTCTTCTCAGATTTGCAGAATGTACCATTGCCAGAAGAGACTTTGGCTGTTCAAAATACATATCTAAAAACCCACACCTGGAACTTAGGGATGACCCTGTGCACCATTCAGGTGGGATTGGACAGACTAATTGCAGACCATAAACAAACACTATTAGAAAGACTCCTGAAGTTCCTGCACGACAAAGAGCCTTGCATCCCAGCAGAAGATCCCATTCTTATTCATCAGATTCTCAAGAGTAGCAAGCTGATCCAAGTCTTGAAAGCACCATACATCTTGCATATATATCTTGCATACATACATTTATGAGGCAGCTGAGTATCCTTCCTGTCTTCCAACTTACTCCTGTTGATTCTTTAACCAATAAGACATCACAAAATAATAAAGAAGTGGCTGTCAGTGTGCATCTGCCTGCAATTGCATTTCACTAAGATGTATTTCAAGAAGCTCATCAGAAAAGTTTTAAGAATAACAATGAATAATCACCCTGTGATACATATACCAGGAGACAGCAGATGATTTACTACAATGACTGAAATGAATAGTAGGAGTGGAAAAGATTAAACAGATTTTTCCTGCCCTTGGGTAAGTAATTAACTAGTAATTAAATTCCCCTTTGTACTGTTTTTAAAAGTCTTAGAATTTACTTTGATTTTTATTGTTGCAATAACGTACTTTATATCAGAAGATAAAGTCAAGATACAGGCCCTAGGCATCCAAAATACCACATGCATAATACTTCCAGGTGAACAGGATGTCAGTCCCAATACTACTCACTGCCATGATGGCAAACCCAGTGAAGTGATTCCTTTGTTACACCCACGGAGTTGAGAATAGGATTTCATATCCTGCATCAAAGGAATCAGCCTGATCTATTCAAAACCACTTCCACCACCACTCTTGAGCTACAATCTCTAAGATAATAAAAACAGAAAAGTTATTAAAATTAAATATGCCTTTCACAGTGAGTGTAGATTGTTTACTTGTTATTTTTAGTTCAGCTTGGTAAGTTCTAGAAAAACAGATCATCTGACACATTATATTGCTCAAACTATTAACAGTATGGTCTCAAAGTAAATGAAAGGCTTTGCTTTAAAGAAAACATATCTACAGACCCTAGGATCTGCAAAGCTTTCCTCTTATTAGATCTCCTGAGATCTCAATTGGTCTGACAATACATCTTCAGAAGAAACAGATACCTCAGTTGAACAAAAACACTTTTTTTTCAGTGCAACCATGACAAAGCATTCTGCATCTTCACATCTGTAAAAAATGCTATGAAAATAGTGAAGCAGGCATTTTACTAGAGATTTGCAATCCCTTTACGGATGACATTTTTATTATTCTCTGGTTCTTTTTGTATTCCCAGTTAATACATGGTCAACCTACAGTACATTTTGCATCTATCAACTCATTTGTGTGATAGCTATTAATAAGACTTAAGACATTAATTCAACAGCTCATTCTCTGTTCTCAAGCTCCCTTGTTGAAATAGACCTTTTCCTCTTTTCTCTTATAGAACAATATTCCACAAGCCTATTTATCTTCTAGGAGAGCTCATACATACAATTTCCTTTAGCTGGTTGGTTCCAGTGAAGACTTTCCTGAAATAAATAGGGTTCTGCTTTCTGAGTGAACTCTCAATAATTAAGATTGTTAAAGAAACAATTAAGACTTTGTGATTAAAGAATTATTAAGTAGTCAAGAAAGTCTAAAGATTGGTCATCAGTTGTCCATCTCACCAAGGAATCCTCCACTTAGCTGCACACTTATTTGGCTGTTTAATAAGTGCAGTGCAATTCCATATAACAATTTATCATAGACATCTTGGGAAAGATCTGTTTAGAAAGATGTACAATCTGGGAGTTTTTTCAGCTAGCCCTCAGCAGTACAGAACCGAAGTGGTCAGATGTTTTCTATGCTGTTGTGTTTATTTTGTTTGGGTGTTCTTTCAAGTTCTTAATCTTCTTAGTCTTCAGCAGTTTCGAAGAATCTTTCTTACTATTTAGGAAAATATCTTTGTAGATACTACTATTCTTAGTTTCATAATACTAAAGTCACTTTTCTTCAAGTGAAGTTTACATTTCCACTCACAAAATTACAGTTGCTCTTTCTGTTCTCTCCTTACAATGTATGCTCAAAAGCACATGAATGCTGAGGAAACAAATATCTGGCAACAAATAGCACAGATTGACACCAGCATAAACCAGGGATTGATAAAAAGGTTACGGTAGTTGCCTCCTTTTAAAATAATCTATACAAACACACCCACAGAAAACAACTCTTGTAAATACTTGTTCAGCTGGATGCAGTAATGACAGACTAAGAAAGTTATCTTCTAGATTAGGAAACTTGAAATGTCTGTGTAAGCTTCCTCTCACCTCCAATAGTAGTACTCTTTTGTAGGCATTTAAACAGACATTCTACGCTAAAGAATCAGCCATAACGATAAATGTATCTGCATATACCAACATCACTGTTTGATAGAGGCACTATCCCCTTTCTACTGGTGTGTGGGCAGTCTACAGGAAAGCTGTATCCCCACCATTATTGAAAAATGCAGTCACATGTACCATTGTACTCAGAGACTGTTGACAGTCAGTCAATGAGAAAACAATTAAAGCATTTTTATTATTCTAGTTTGCATTATTCAATGTTTTCCTGCCTTCGCAGAGCTCATTAAGCTATTTTAAATAAACAATTAAATAGTACTGAATATGCATTATTCCCTGTACAAAACACTGCTTGAAAATGCTGCAATTAATTACAAACCTACCTTTTTACATAGAACTGCTTTTGATATTCTTTTTTATATAATCTTTCTGCTTTTAAAAAAATACATAAAATAAAAGTAACTGATCTTCAAGTGGAGTTACAGCCTATTCAGTGTTTTAGTACATACTGGAAAATATTCCAGGTGGGGAAAGGACATGGAATTCCTACATTAGCTGAGAAAAAGCTTGCAATATCACAGACACAGAAGGGCCCAGGTTGGAAGGGACCTCTAGGACATATAAGATAGAACCATATAATCTCAAGGTTGGAAACAACCTATAAGATCATCTAGTCCAACCATCTTCTCTTTACCACTGCTACCACAAGCTACTAAAACATATCTTGCAGCTCCTCATCCAGACGCCTCTTGAACACTGCCAGGAATGGCGACTCCACCACCTCCCTGGGCAGCCATTCCAATGCCTGACCACTCTGAGATAAAAAGTTTTTCCTCACATCTAACCTAAACCTCCTCTGGTACAATTTGCGGCCATTTCCCTGGATCCTGTTCGTTGCCTGGGAGAAGAGGCCAAATCCCTCTTCACCACCATCTCCCTTCAGGAAGTTGTACAGTGCAATGAGGTCTCCCCTGAGCCTCCTCTTCTCCAGACTAAACAATCCCAGCTCCCTCAACCACTCCTCATAAGACTCGTGCTCCAGACCCCTCACCAGTTTCATTGCCCTTCTCTGGACAAAGATAACTCACATATAACATATACACATATCTCAATATTTAAGATAACTCATGAAATCTATCTACGGTGATATAAAAAAGAAAGTTATTAACCCCTAGTGTTACTCTAAGCTTTAGTACTTTGTATAGAAAGCACCGCGTAGCTTCTTTATCAGTTAGATGAATACTCAGATTGCCTGTTTAACAAATACTAGTTTAAAAAAGGAAAGTAAATTTCTAAGATTTTTAACATGGAGGGTTTTCTTAACCTCTGGAGTATTCTGTAGAGACTGTTTTAATTAAATGTAAAAGATAGCTGAGCTACATTTCAGCTTTGTATTATTCTGAAAGCTGCTTATCAAAAACGGCCCATCTGTGCCTGAAACTGAAACGTGTATGAATGAGACTTAGGCTATGGGAATATTTTGGGATGGGATGGGCTTCAAGATAAATACTTGTCAGTTGCAAAAGTACAAAAGGATTTTGATTTATGTTAAAAGAGGCTCAATGTGCTGACAGAAATTTTGAAGCTTATTTAACATTTAGTACTTAAGTCTTAAGATAAATACTAAAAATGCCATAACATGAGTAAGAAACAGGTAAAAATGCACAATAAAATATTAGCTTATAGAAGCTAGAAATTACAGTAGAATCAAAATACAAAACAAGATTATCAACTAATAAATTGGAAAAATTCTCAAAAATAAACTTCTAGTACATTGCTATTTTCTGTTTCCTGAAGCATTTTCAACACGAATATCGGAGTGCATGAGGCCACTCACATTTCAGGAAAGCAAAAACAGTTAATAGTTCCAGGTTATGCTTCATAATATCCTTATTCTAACATTAAGGCTTTCAGATCAGTCCCACTATTACTTGCAATATTTTTTAACAATGGTCTAAAATTTTTGTAAAAACAGATGCTTCCATTATTAAATTGAAAAATATCAAATGGAAGATATTTTGAAAAAGTATTTTAAATCTAATCTATTTTATAAGTAAAGCATTACAGCTTCATGGGCACATCACTTGTCTTATTTTCACACCTGTATCTACTGTTCTTCTGCCTTGTGAACTTGGAAAGTTCAGACCTCCCTGCCAGTGTTTCCCTTGCTATTTTTCATTTGCTGTCTACTGGGGCTGTAAAGCCTCCAGGGCATGAATTGTTCAGCATCCCTTATAAAAAAAAGACCCCGTCTTACCTGAGCCTGCAAGTGCAGCACAAATGAACAATATCGTACTACTATAGAGGTGAACTTAACCCACTGAAGAGATAAAT